CTCTCTCTCTCTCTCTCTCTCTCTCTCTCTCTCTCTCTCTCTCTCTCTATCTCTTCTTTCTCTTCGCGTCGGAACACAACGCTTACGAAGAGAACTGGAGGAGGACTGTACACGTGTACGTCGCCTGAAGCGATTTTCATGCGGAGGCTGCGTCCCACATAAAAAGACATTTCTGAGGATAACGGCGTTATGTTCACCAGGACCATCTGCCCGCTCGATGGTCACGCGGCACGGAATTTCTCTCTTTCTATTTATAGTCGTCACACGAATCATGGTCAGAACTAGGATTTGGAGCGCGGGATAGAGACGGCTACTCGCGATGATCGCGATACCATTGATCGTGGTACCGCAGCTCGCTGACCTCATCGTGTTCCGAGTTCCGATTCTGATCGTTGTCATGCCCTTCTCTGACAATAAGACCGTTTCGAGGATGATCTGCGAGTGTCTCAGGTTCCCCTAGGTTTGCATCCGAGACGACGATTGTATGACATTTGCCCAATGTCATGTCGCGGGGACGGAGGACGGGAGGAGGGAAGGAGAGGGGAAGAGAGAGGAGGGAAGGGGGCGAGAAGGGCATACTTAACAGCAGTTAAGTTGCACGCGATCGAGGAAACACGACGAGGTCGGGGATGTAGCGCGGGGGGGGAGGGAGAAAGGGAGAGAGAGAGAAAGAGAAAGAGTAGAGAATAGCGATGAGTAGAGAACTTATTGGAGCCGGAGCTACTTACAGCATACCAGAGCAAGAGGTGCAGACGAACGAGCCGATCGTCATGTTGACGTAAGTCGGCCCGCGCTGGTTGCAATCGAAGCATTCCTTGTTGCCCGGCTGCGAGACCAGTTCGCGGAGCGTCTTCAAGTTCCTCTCGTCCTGCTTCCTCTTCGTGGACGCCATCCCGTCTGCGTGCGTATGCGTGGATATACACTATACGCGCGCTCGCGCGCGGCGGCAATGGGTTTGCGCTGATTTGCTGTTTGCGGCTCGAGATGAACGGCCCAAACGGCTCTACCTAGGTCGTCGAGCTCAGTCGACTACTCGAACCATTCGAGCCACTCGAGCCTCGAGCTTGCTCGAGCTGTGTCGAACGCGGGCGCGATCCCTAGGTTCCAAGGATTGTACTGGATTGTACGAACCACCTATCACGCCGCGCCTACAAAACTGACTGCGATGCGCAGTGCCGCTGCATTCACTCTCTTTCTTTCTTTCATTCTCACTTGCTCGCTCGCTCTTACTCCCTTTCCTTCCCTCACTTCGGCAGTTCAGCAACTGACAAGTATTTTGACAAGTACAAGGATACGCGAGACATCCAATGGAAGAGCGTGAATTCTAGGGATTGTTTAAGACGCCATTTTCGTTCCTAGGAAACGATTCTTCTCATTGGTTGTCGAACGGAGTGCGAAATCACGTTAGAGAAGTCAGCTGTATTTATACGTGCATACGTCACAGCTACAGAGGGCGACTTTGATTAAAATCCGATAAATTTAATTGGTGATTAAATCGATCCGTAGAATTGTTTAATTACATCAAAATCTTTAGCTAGATTAATTACGCAGCATTGAGTTAAATTCATGATGACTATTGTATAGATGCTTCACACATAAATAAGCGTACATATATTGATAACGCAATGTTATCGTCGTGTATATCGCAAAACTGCATTTTTTTCCACGATTATCATCCGCGTGAATAAATCTAAAACAAATAACAATTAATGAAGTACAGTTCTAACTTTAATCTTGGTTAAACTTACTTTTTATCCTGTTATAGGTCTAAGAATCAGAAAAAGATAAAGATCGAGTAAGTATAAGACCGAGATTAAAAAGCTGAGTAATCTGCTTACATATTTCGACATACTAGAGTCTATATCGTTTCTATCAATGTATAAACTTAATCTTGGTTCAAATAGCTTTTCATCTTTTTTTAATTTTAAAAATTAAAAAAGAGATGAAGAGTTGAATCGAGATTGAAGTTATCTACATCGGTAGAAACCGACACTAATCGTTCAAATTTTAAGTCATTCAATGGAAAGCGCTTTGTACAAGAATCGTGTTTTCCGAAATTCACTGTCGAATTCCAATGTCGAAAATCTTATATATATATAGTGTGGTGAACTATATAAATTTTCAATACTCATAGTGAAAACGGAACGCAGCCTACATAGATTTTTAGTGCAGGCAATGAATTTTGGAATACAGTCAAGATTGATCGCTTTTTAGATCTGTTTGAATTGCTTGTACTTTTTGTATTTAGCATCTTCGCATTCTTTCATCCTAATGAATATAGAATTTATCTCCTTTTAAATACAACAAATTTGAGGGATTTCAAGCTTCTTATCAGTATTTCACTTCTTATCAGTAATCATCGATTTTATATCGGCACATGTATTCTTTCGAATTTCTTCAATTTTTATAATAATTTATGTATATTTGTATTACTAAATATACAAATGATAAATTACATAATACGTAAAACATACAATTCTCCAATAGATGTCCTAAGGAGGTCAATGACATCTTTATCATTCAATGGGCATCCTCAGGATACTTATACTTGAGGAACTATGTATTGTAAGGACAGATAATTAATTGATACACATATCTATATTATATATGTATAACATTATATTATGTATATGTATAACAAATAAATATATAAAAAAGTAATTATGATAAGAATAATAAAATAGGAAACAAATAATGAATAAAGAATAATAATAAAGGTTAAAGAAACGGTACACGAGATATTTTACATATCACGTATTCTTAATACAAGAAAAGAATAGGCATTGTTAAATTGACGCTCCTACGCATGCGCAGAATTTCTCGATCGATGGAAGCACGTACAAAATAGATTCGAATCTACTTCGATCTTGCTGAGATCGTAGATCGTAGTGATCGTGACCAACTACATAATCGTTTGCTAGAAACTGTTGCGAACGGATTCCACTTTCTTTCTCTGATCAATTTTTCGTTGTAATTTGGAGACATAATGTCATCCTTTTGGGGTAAGATAATTTGCTTCTCAACTGTAAATATACTAATAAAATCCATGAATATTGTGGCGAAACATCTCATCCAACCAACGTCATTATTCATTACAGCGCTAATTTTACAACCGGGAAATAAATACTCGCAATACGTGAATGAGTCCTTTCGCATAACCATGGCAAGTTTGGATATTACATATGCTAGTAAGACACAACTTCTGAACTCTTTCGTGAAATCTCGCGACGGCATACCTGAAACTCACCTCCGTAAAGTAAATTCCATTAATTCCCGCATCTGTCTTGACATATCTTTACGCACTTTCGTGTACATGTAAAATGATCAGATACATATGATGCGTTTTAACGCTACATTTTAACAGAGATAGTATTACAAGTTGTTCAATAGATCAAGATTAAATGTGTGTTGTCATTTATCAAGTTTTATTTACATAGCGAATTATAGCCTGCGTATGAGAGTTGTTTACGTGGCTGAATCGCGCGCACATTGCCTTCTTTGCAGGTGACAGACCGATACAAGTAATGATGGTTCATGAGCAGACAAGATTTCTGCTTTGTACTTTACACAAGGATAAACCATGGCAAGTTCAACTCAACGTTCTTGTACAAAAGGAAACTGTTGTAACTCTTTCATGCAACGGTGGAAGTTACGTTCATCTAACTGGACATTACAGAATTGACTCGGAAAAAGCTCCATTTAATCCAAACTGGATAACAACTTTATCTTGGCACATCTTAGACGAAAAAATAAATGAGCTAAAAAATAAAGGGACTTGTCTAGAAGAACTAACTGAATATTTGAATAAATATACAACAATAAAAATTGAGGAAAAATGGATAGTTTCACCATACTCTATTAAAAAGAAACAAATCCAAGAAAATAGAATACCTCTTCAAGTTCTAAATTTAAAAAGAAAAAACTTTATGAAAGATAATAATAGAACGGAAGAAACAAAGCGCGTAAGGTCATTACTTCATTGCAATGAAAATATTAATTTTAATAATGTTCCTTCTGAAAATTCTTCTGAGATTCCGTCTGAGGAATCTTCTGAGAGTTCTTCTGAAAATTTTTCTGACATTTCTTTTGAGGATTCTTCTATGAAAAGTAATGACAATGATGAAGAAAATGATAAAGAAAATAAGTCATCAATATATCATTTAAGGTTAAAAAATAGACAGAAAAATGAAAGCAAAAATAAAAATAAGAATGACGTGCAAAAAAGAAGAAAGGAAGAATCTGAAAAGCAAGAAATAAAAGAGAAACAGCAGAAAGCTAAAGTAACCGAGGCAAAATCAAAGGAAAAAGATCCTGATAAAACAAAAAAGAATAGCAAGCAACAAGATGTAAGAATTATAAAGAGTGGAATGAAAGTGCAAGAGTTAAGACCTGGTACTGGCAAAATCGCAGAAATGGGCAAATACGTCACAATCTATTATGTGGCTTATGTGAAGACCGGACTAATGTTGGAAGAATTTGATCGATTTGAAAAACTTGGCTTTAGATTTAAACTCGGTGCAGGATTCGTGATCAAGGGCTTGGATATAGGAGTACTTGGAATGAAAATTGATGAAAAACGTCGTCTTGTAATACCATCCAATATGGCGTATGTATAGCATTCTTACTTATGCTTTTTACTTATATATTCCAATTCGTTTCACATTGAGTAAATTTTAAATTTAAAAAAAAATTCTTTTTTCAAGTACAATGTCCAGTCACATTTCGAAAACATATAAACTTATTAGTACTATATTCTTCTTACAGATATGGAGATGAAAGTTATGGACTCAAAGTTCCACCTAATTCAACAGTTGTATATGATGTTGAACTTAAGAAAGTCGAATAAGTATCACTAATTTAAGTATTGATGACTAACTTATGAATAGTTTAAGAATTTTTTAAATGATTGAAAGACTTTTTTAAATGATGAAATTTTTTCACAACTGCTATCTTATTAGGATATGACATTTTTTATCTTGTATTTTAATCACAGACTCTTAAATTTTCGATATGTTTCTCTTTATTTGATACTTACATATGATATACTTATAAAACTTGAGTAAATTTTTATGATTTAAATATTATTTACGAATAATTTAAGGATCTTTTTTAATTTCATGATTGCTATCTCATTAGGATGTAAATCAATTTTTTTTGTATTTGAAACAGGTCTGAACTCAATATACTCTTTATTTCATACTTATAAGAATTAAATTCATCAAAAGTCGAGTTATTAATTAATCTTACAACTGCTATCTTATTAGAATATATAATCTTTTTTTATCTAGTGTTTGATACATATTTATGTAAAGATGGGAAACGCTTTTTTAGAGAATTAAATAAATAAAACGGAAAAATTTTTATATAAAAATATTAATATACATACATAAGT